TCCTTCTTTTAATCACGGTTGACACATCCAGCTTCCCTCCTGCTCTCTGTAGTGCATCTGGGAGCGTGAAATCTGCAGCAATGGCTCAGGTAAATTGTATCCACTCTCTTGGCCTGCAGCAAAGACCGAATGCGGTCCCGAAACAACTTCTGTATTTTTGTGAACCGCGAGGGGGTGAATTTCGTGGGGATCGCACCCGTGTCGCATCCTAGAATTCAAGAGGCAACAACACTAAGCGCACAGAACGATCGGCTGAGAATGTACCCATAATGGTGGTCAAAAAGGCTTTTTTCATCTGTGACGTGTAGCACGGCACCCCACAAACGCGGACTTTTGTTGGGATTCACATTCTCTCACACACCTATTCCTCGACGTTTACGTCCCTTCGATAAGCTTTTATGTGAAAAAAGCTGTCCTTTCTGCTGTGTCCATTCCATAAAAATTAGTTTTGCAGATACTGGTAGTTATCCACTTTTTAAGACTGTCATCAATTTTCCCTCCCGGTTGTCCATTTTGAAAGCCTTAACTTTGGCTTTCAAGCCAAAGTCAAATAAAAAGGCGCAATTTTTGTCTCCTGGACTACGATCCCTTTTTCGTCAGACGCTAATCTGTATATGGCGCTGCCATCGTAGTAGTTCATGTCGGTCAGCCAATACCCATCAGTACTGCGTAGAATTCCAGTAAATGATCCAGTTAAACCCCATTTCAGGATACATCTCCACTTGGCTCGTATTAAGTGCTTCATTACTTCGCGTAGAATTTGCGCACCCAAACAAACGCCTCCGTGTGTTTGCGCAGTATCCGTTGGCTCATTTTACGCCTGTACATGCAATTCAGCTTTTCTGGTAAATTATTCTGTCGCAAGTAGTCACATGATTGCGTCTTAATAATAATTTTCTCGATGTCTTGGTTTGGAGTAAGGTGCAGTGCCATTAAACTTCTCTTGCTACCCCGCCAGGTGGCCTAAACATTAAGGATAAGTAAACTTATCAGGACTTAATTGATGTCACTATGGAATATAACGACTATGCGCTTAACTGTCTACGTCCTTTTTGCTTCGATTGTGCTGCTACTGCTGCTCTTCCTGTCACCTACAAACGAATCTAAATTCTCAGTCTACTTGTTTGGGTCAGACGCGACGCACAGTATCGGTTTACCTTTAATTTCTGTGTCCACTGTAACCTTACCGTTTTCCTGTATCGCCATCATAACATACAGATTACAGGTGGCCTTGCGCCATGGCTTGAGGGTAGGGGAAATCCTATTCCGATAGTATAATCTTAATTTGCCATGGGGCTAACGTTGACACGTTTGCTGTACAGGGTTTTACAAACCAACTTACATGCAGACAACATTATCATTTTTTTCTGAAAGCTGCCGTGATTATATGCGAATATAGTTGACAAGAAAGCGTCCCCGTCTTCTATTCAATCACCTGGGCCTTGCATATTTTCGACCATTCACAAATATAGTTATTTGGCAAACGGCACACGAGGCTTGCATCGCAGCCTAATGGTCTGTCAGTGTGAGCATATCTCTTTGGAATCAATGAATTTTTTTAAATATACACCATGTGCTTGTAGTACCGTCCCTCGTACTTATTTTCTTACAGCAACACG